ATTTTTATTTTCACCCTATGCCATTGATATTCAAGAAAAATAATATATTTTGATGGTTTATCAGATTGGGAGGCAGTGAGAATTTGTGTGCATATGTACACATATGTGCTTCCAGGAAAGTACAGATGCCTCAGCGAATCCCACACCCCCTTCTCTCCCCAGCAGCAGGCCAACGGGAGCCAAGTCCACGTTCTCTACTCCACCCCAGCCCGTTACCTCCACGAGCTGAACAAGGCCAACATCACCTGGTACTGGAGGAGCCATGGAAGACTGGGGTGGGAAGTCTTATGTGCTGTGGCCCCGCCCTCAATGCCCTAACCCCACAGGTCACTGAAGCAGGATGACTTCTTGCCTTATGCCAGCAACCCCAACAAGTTCTGGACCGGCTACTATTCCAGCAGACCAGCCCTCAAACGTTATGAGCGCCTCAGCTACAACTTCCTGCAGGTCAGGGGATTCTGGGATCAAGGGGGTTGCCCAGGTATTCACAGTAGGCCTGGCCAGCCCAACACAACCCTGTCTACCAGGTGTGCAATCAGCTGGAGGTGCTGGCAGGATCTTCAGCCAACTCAGGACCCTACGGCTTAGGGAGCAGCATACCACTGAGTAGGTGTCAGGGTGGAGGGAGGACCATTGAGGGACTGGAACTCTACCTCAGCCCTTCCTCACGTCTCTCATTAATGCCCTTAAGACCCTTTTTCCAACTTCAGTGGACCCTCTTTTCTCCCAGTACCTGGGGTGGGGGTATTGCAGAGACCACACCTGTACCACCTGTAGGGGAAGCAATGGCAGTACTCCAGCACCATGATGCGGTCACCGGCACCTGCACGCAGTTCGTGGCTGATGACTATGCCCGCCAGCTTGCTGAGGGCTGGGAAATCTGTGAGGTGTGTGGGGCAGGGACGTACAGTAAGGCGCTGGACCTGGGAGAGACAGACAGACAAACAAAAAGACAGTTAGCATGGGCCACATGTGAGAGAAGACAAAACAAAAAAATCCTCTACCATCTACTGAGTTCCAACACATAGCAACCTCCCAAGACGTAGTAGAACTCCTCCACAGGATTTCCTAGCCTGCAATCTTTGTTGGAGCGGACTGTCACATCTTTCTCCTGAAGAGGACCTCATAGGTTTGACCAACTTTTATCAGTCCACGGCTTAATCCACTGTGAATTCTTGACTTGAGAGACAAAGGAACATAAGTAGGAAACAAGGGCCCAAGGACAGCAATATTTGGCCAGAATGGGCTCAGAATTCTCCCTCACAGGAAGATCAACAAGTGAGAAGTCCATGGTAGCAAGGGAGTAGACTTACAATAGGATCCTTTGAAGGTGATTCGATGTGGATCAGACCACCCCTATGTGCTCCTTCCCAGGTGGTCCTGAGCAATGCTCTGACCCAACTCAGTGGCTCCAAGGAGAATTTCACATTCTGCCAGAAACTCAACATCAGTGTCTGTCCCCTCAGCAGTTCATCTGCATGCGTGAGTTGGTCCCGAGGAGGGAGGAGCAGAGCCAGAAGGGGTGTGGTTTGGAAAGGATTGTCCCTTTGAAGAGCTAGGACCAGGGGTAGAAGAAGAAGGAGGGAAACCAGGACACAGTGGGTGCCACTTAATAGAATGGGAAGTCCTGATGCCTGGTTGTATGAGGAGTAACATAAGGGTAGTCATATAGGGGTAGTATGTAGGAGGAGTACATAGGGTTTTCAGAGGCCTGCCATTTCAGAAGTGGATGGCCAATCCTTCTTCCTAGTCTGTCTTAATCTGAATGTTTAGACCTCGAGGAGTATCTGACAGACAAAAATTTGTGGAGTAGTGAAAGATAAATCCCTCATTTTGGAGTTGACCATTAGTTACAGTGTAGTCCCTGCCCTTAGCCCAGTGCCTTGAC